GTCAGGGCGACTCAGCTTACAAGGAGGCAACTCTCGCTGGAACGTGAATTCAGTCAGGGCGGAAGGAGCCGCGCGGGGATTTAAGGTATCTACGGCCCTGATCCCGGACATAAATGGGTTGGGGATTGCGAAGCGAACACCTATTCGGAAAAAGGGAAACTCACCAGCCACCGGTCGCCTCCTTTCCACACCAGCCGCTTCCGGGTTTGTGGGGAACCTGAGCGCGCCGGGGAGGCGGGGTTGGGGCGGAGCCTGGTGGTGGGCGGGACAGGATTGGGGCGGAGCCTATGCTTCCTGGGGTCTCCCTCCCCCGGCGCCCATTTTCTTGGGTTTCTGCGACCAAACCTACCACGAGGCAGGGGCAACTCAGGGGTTAGGGAACTAGAATCTGGTGGAAGCGTCAAACTCCGCTGGTAATGGAATCCAGCAACATTCCTGCAATTAAGATTAAGTTCTGATGCTCGGCGCCCATCCCACAGTGATTACTGCGCCGGTCACAGACACCGAGGCTGGCGGGTTAGACCCAGTCCTGCCTAGCTAAGCAACAATGACAACTGCAACAAAAGAACAGTCGGGCTTTGTGGTGGGCGCCTGTGGTCCCAGCTACTTGTGAGGCTGAGGCAAGAGAATCGCTTAAGCCCAAGACTTGAAAGTTGCTGTGAGCTGTGACGCAATTCACCAGACAGAGGGCGACATAGTGACACCTGTCTCTAAATATATAAATAAATACATAAAATAGGTTCTACAATTATGTTAAACACCGCAGGAATGTCTGCAGGTGAGGCAACCTACAATGGGAATTGCAAAACCCTCCCTGGGCTGAATGTGCAGTTTCATGTTGAGGCCCAACAGAACACACTGGAAATCCTTTCTGTTTCAATTCCACCTTCACAGTGGAGAGAGAATGTCAAGCCTGAGCTGATGATGACAGACTTTCAGAGGGGCAATCCCCAGGGTGTGGAGGCCTCAGGCCAGTTTAATATGGTCACCAGGGCTGGTTTGAAAAAAGCAATAACTCTTGAATAGAGATGGAAATTATGTAAGCGTTCTTCACAGTGGTTATTCTTTACACTTTTGAGATTATGTACTTTTAAAATAAACTTTGTTGGCCTCATAGTGGGCTCACATCAATATGTTCTAAATTCATGTAAATTCACATGAACGCAAGTTTATTATGAAGTAATTAGAAAATGCACTTGATTTAAAATTTGTTATATATTAATATATACATCTTTTTTGTTTTTCTTTTTGAGACAGAGTCTGAAGCTGTCACCCTGTATAGAGTGCTGTGGGGGTCATAACTCACAGCAACCTCCTCCACTTCGGGCTCAAGTGATCCTCTTGGGTCACATACCTGCTCAGGGTGGTCTGCAACTGTGAGCTCAGGCAATGCACCTGCCTCACCCTCCCAGAGTGCTAGGATTACAGGCATGAGCCACCACCATGGCACCTTCGCTTTTTTTTCTTGAGGGAGTCTTACTCTGTCACTCCGGGTAGAGTGCCTGTCTTGTC